CCATGGACCAGGGGTAGGGGTAGAAGATTGACTTGATAGGGGCTCAAGGGAATTTTCGATGTCTTTATTTGATGGTATTTTAGGAGTGTATACATTTGTCAAAAGTTATCAGGTTTCTTAAAGATATCTGCAGACATGCAAAATTACATATGGATAAGATTATTCATTAGCAAAAATAAACATTGAAGCTCTATTGCATAGAATGCTGCATACACACACACACACACACACACACACACACACACACACATACACACACACACACACACACACACACACACATTTGTATATTATGTTTTAAAGTACCTGATTCTATTTAAAGAGAAATTGAATTCTTAGTCAATGCTAATGAAGAAAAGTGCCGATAATATAATATTTATATTCAACCTGTATAAGCTTATATGAGCCAGAAAGGAATTGTTGGATTGTGTAGCACAGAATCTGCTTGTCCTCTGCATAATGGACTGGTGATTATCGGCAACTCTGACCTCATTATTTGGGCTTAATGTTCATCATTGGCATTCTAAGGAAGAAAATGATAGGAAAGAGGGAATAAAAGGGAAAAAATGATAATGTATATAGTGACACACATCATCATTAATACCAAGCTAGTCTGTCCTAAATGACTATAAAAATCGAAAGAAGAGTTCCTTTACGAGGGACTTTTGCCATTTATTATCCCAGAAACTAGATGATATCAAAGCTTTCCAATATAAAGAAAGTTTTCAATCTGTGAGGCTCTGACGCCCACTCTGTAACTGTGACGGGTGTCCTTTGGCATGGCTGTTTAGAAACTCAGCATGGATACCTTGGAGATGTCTCTCTTCAATTAATTACATGTCCCCATACAGTTCATAGCTATAATACAAAGCAGTGATGCTTCAAGTGTTAATATTCCAATGATGAGTAAAAGGTCCACTTTTCTAGAATACTAGGCAATGTCATGTATGTTGGAAGCCATAAACCTTTGAAAGTGTGCCTGTCATGTAGGCAACTGGTAAAATAGCATTAAGTACACAATGTCTTCAAAAAATACAGTACATAATGGTGACAGTGTTACTCTAACCGTTCTCAAATCTTTCTGTCAGACTCACTGCTACGTACATGAAAATATGATGACAAATTCAGAGGTTCCTAAAAAAGTGGATATGTATTACAATTAATTTTATTCCGTCTTTTTTTTCCTCTCACAACTCTGTAATAATTGATGGTAATTCAATGATAGTTGTCTTTTATCTACTCTTCTATTTAGAGCTATCCCAGGTTTACTTGTTACTACTACAGTGTTCAATACCAGCAACTGTAACATAGAAGGACAAATGCATAATTTGGAATAGAATAACTGATTATTAAATTTCACTGTGAGCAAACAGCTTAACCTTTCTGACCCTCAGTTTTCTCATCTGAATAAATCCTATCTTTCAGACTTTTGAAAGACTAATTTGGAAGATATCAGGGAACATTTTCGTTTACCATAGTGTTTCTCAAACTCTAACACACACAGAAATTACCTGGGGATATTGTTAAAAATGCAAATTCTGATGCAGAAAGTTAACACTGGATCCTGAAATGTTGAAGGAAGCTTCCAGGTGATGTCAGTGCTGCTACTCGTTATTACTTGTGTTACCTAGAAGTTGATTAAAAAATGTAAGCCCTCATATTCCGCCCAATGCCCTCTGAATTAGCATCTGCCTGTTCACTGGATCTATAGGTCACTTGTGTGAACATCAAAAATTGAACAATTTTGGTCTAGCAGCAAACTTGGCACATTGCAGATATTCAATCTAAATATAAGTCTCAAGTCACCACAGAAAAAATGTGTAGAAAGTAGATGAATATACTATTTTTTTCTATCCAAAACTTGATTTTGAATTATCACCCAAGTGTTGCTTGAAGCTAAAAAGTGGCCTAGCCCCAAGTCAAGTTTCCATTCCCTGACAGCCTCCCTGTTAGCAGCTGCTTCAGTAGACGTCTGCATTATCAAAAGTCCTTTTCATCATTATGTTTTCTGTATTTACATAGAAACTACATTTACCAACCAAAATTTAAGTTGCCATATTTATTTATTAAAGACTACTCTTAGAAGCTTGTATCAACCTTGTATAAACACACTTGCCACACCAAAATTGAAATAGTTCAAAACCAGAGCAAAAAGGAGTGATGATTGCATTAGCCTGTACTGCTTTATTGTGGATACAGCAATAAAATTAATACAGAACTAAATAAGGTTCTTAGGGAATTGGGAGCCAAAGTGGGGAAACTTGTCTATAAACATAGTTATCACAGCCAGTTTTGGAAGATGGAAGCCTACCTTATTAAATCTGAGATAAATATATAAAGATACATTTTGAGATTTCAGTTGATAATAGATCAGTTTTTCTATTTATTGTTATATAAGTTATTTTTATTGTTTGTAACTAGGTAAGGCATTGATTTCTAATTCATATTTCACACTGAAGAATAAAAATATGAGGACCAAAGGGAAACAGTTTTTTAACCTGTGTAAGAGAATTTCTTGTCTTGAAGGTGTTCTCTTTGTTTTAAAATTCCCTGAAACTTTTGTAGTTCTTGTAGAGTAGTCTTGCTAGTGACAAAATCTCTAAGTTTTTGGTTATCTGATAATTTCTTAATTGTTCCTTTATTTTTGAAATTTTGAAAATTTCATTGCATTGCCTTCTAGTCTTCATGATTTCTGATAAGAAATCAGCTGTTAATATTACTGAGGATCCCTTGTACATGAGTCACTTCTCTCTTGATGCTGTCAAGATTCTCTCTCTGTCTTCAGCTTAAAACATTTTGATGTGGTATGTCTATGTGTGGAATGCTTTACAATTATTTTGCTTGTAATTTACCCAGCTTCTTGGATATTTATATTCATGTTTTGCATCAAATTGGAAAGTTTCCAGTCACTATTTCTTCAAATATCCCTTCTGTTTATTTATCTTTCTCCTTCCCTTTTGGGACTACCATTGTATGCATATGCTGATGACTTGATAGTTTCTGGGGCTCTGTAAATTTTTCTTTATGTATTTTTCTTTCTGTTCCTCAGAATGGGTATACTCAATTGATTTATCTTCAAGTATGCTGATTATTTTTTAGCCCTTATACTGACTTTTTCATTTGAGTTATTGTATTTTTCAACTCCAGAATATTGAGATTGTCCATTTTTGTACTTTCTGTCTCATTATTAATATTCTATATTTGGTAAGACATGATTCTCATGTTCCTTTGTTTTGTTTTTTTTTTTAAGACATGATTTCTTTTAGTTATTTGGTCACATTTTAAATAGTCAGAATTTTTTTTTCTGCGTATGGGTCACATTTACTTTATTCTTTGTATGTCTTACAATTTTTTTGTTGAAATCTGGACAGTTTTGATGATATATGGGAACTCTTGTTAGCAGATTCTCCCTCCTCCTTAGAGTTTATTGTTGTTTCTGTGCCTTGTTTGTTGTTTAGTGTATTTTCTAAAATAATTTCATAAAGTGTATATTTTTAGTTATTTGTGGCCATTGACATTTCTGCTTGATTCACATACTTGACAGCTAATGATTAGATAGAGATTTCCTGATATGCTTGGAGCCAAATCTCCTAGTCTTTACCAAAGAGTTTAATATGCATGTTGAGACAAACTTTCAACACTCAGTTAGGTAGTTTACAACTTTACCTTAACCTTCAGTTCTTGCTTGTAAAAAGCCTGAAGGTTATCCAGAAGTGACAGCTTAGGGGCATCTTAGTTTTTTCCTGAGCACGCATATAGTCCTGTTCATGTGCACAACCCTAAGTGTGCATGTGGTCTTCTAGATTCCCAGGGATATTGCAGAGCACTTTAAAACGCCCTATAAAAATCTTATCTCTCAGATTTGTTTTAAAGCTTTTGGTTAGCCTATTGTTTGTCCCAACTGCTATCTATTGCATCAGGCAGCTATGATGTTAAACCTTAGTTTTGCTAATTGTTTTTGACAAATGCTTTTGGGAAAAAGGTTGTTCACAATGGGAAAGCTCCTAGTCAGATCAAATGAAGACAAGCCCCATGAGCAGGGTCTTACAGTTCAAATAATAATCAAATAAGTCAAATAATGACAAATCTTTTGGAATTGAGCTTAAAGGAGCTCCAACCCTGCTCTGCCCATTCCGTTGGATGCCAGACTGCTATCTTTCACGCGATTGTGGACTACTGGTTTTAAGGTTCCTGCAAAGTGAGGAGAGGAGCCAAGAAAGGGAAAGTTAAAACACCACAGAGCTTGTTGTTCTTACTGAGATTCAGCCATTTTTCTTGAATAAATGCTCTCCAAATTGCTTCACGTCATTAGTTAATTTCCAGAATTCTTAAAAAGTTTATTCTAAAAACGTTTGCTAGTTGCTTTAATGGTGTTGAGGTCCTCACTACACCATTCTGACTGATATCAGTTAAAATGCCCTATATCTTTGAATGGTGAGGAAAAGTCATATGGAACTTTGTCTTGCTGCTTTAGAAAGACTATGCATCTACTAGAGATTGTACAGGGTTTTGTTTACAGATTACAGATACTACTAAAATATCTTGCTGGTTTTAGGTAATTATTAGACGAGTTGCCACAGTGACCTCCTTTTAAGAAAAAATTTCTCATAATTAAATATCAAATTTGTAATACATGTTGTATAATGATAAAAAGTCTGGTCTTTGGAACTAGATAACTCGGAGCTCAAGCCTTGTGTCTGGCCCTTAATAGCTTTATGACCTTCATCAAGTTACTTACTTTCACAATGTAGTAATAATAGCAGTATATATTCATAGATTTCTTTCAAAATGCAACTAAACTACAAAAGCCAAGTACTCAGCACAGTTCGTGGTACAGAGAAAATGCTCAAGAAGTTTTAATTTCTGTTGCTACTGTTATTGTTAAAAATATAATTTGGCACCTCTAATACTTAAATGTGTTTCTTTAAGAATCACATTCAAAATAGGAAATAAATCACAACTGTCTCACTCACACTACTTTGTTTTCTATGTGATTCTAGGCACCGTGGTGGTTCAGCAGTTGATGTCAATGATGATTAGCAAACATGATCGCCTGTTCCCCAAAGACGTAGAACCACAAGGCAAGCCCCAAGACGGAGTAAGCAACAACAACAATGAAATTCAGAAGAAAGCCACCATGGGCCAGTTACAGAATAAGGAAAACAATAATACCAAAGACAGCCCTGGTAGGCAGTGTTCTTGGGACAAGTCCGAGTCACCTCAAAGAAGCAGTTTGGACAATGGATCCCCCACAGCTCTACCAGGCAGCAAAACCAATAGCCCAAGGAACAGTGTTCACAAGTTAGATGTCTCAAGGAGCCCCCCACTCATGGTCAAAAAGAACCCAGCCTTTAATAAGGGTAGTGGGATAGTCACCAATGGGTCCTTTAGCAGCAGTAATGCAGAAGGTCTTGAGAAAACCCAAACCACCCCCAATGGGAGCTTACAGGCCAGAAGGACCTCTTCATTGAAGGGATCTGGTACAAAAATGGGCACCCACAGTGTACAGAATGGAACAGTGCGCATGGGCATTTTGAACAGCGACACCCTTGGGAACCCTGTGAATGGCCGTAGCATGAGCTGGCTGCCAAATGGCTATGTGACCCTGAGGGATAACAAACAGAAAGAGCAAGCTGGAGAGTCAGGCCAGCACAATAGACTCTCCACCTATGATAACGTCCACCAGCAGTTCTCCTTGATGAATCTTGATGATAAGCAAAGCGTTGACAGTGCCACCTGGTCCACGTCCTCTTGTGAAATCTCCCTCCCTGAGAACTCCAATTCCTGCCGTTCCTCTACCACCACCTGTCCAGAACCAGACTTTTATGGTGGGAACTTTGAGGATCCTGTTTTGGATGGACCCCCACAGGACGAACTTTCCCACCCTGTCGACTATGAAAGCAAAAGTGATCGTAGGAGTGTGGGAGGTCGAAGTAGTCGTGCCACCAGCAGCAGTGACAACAGCGAAACATTTGTTGGTAACAGCACCAGCAACCATAGTGCCCTGCACAGTTTAGTTTCCAGCCTGAAACAGGAAATGACCAAACAGAAGATAGAGTATGAGTCCAGGATAAAGAGGTGAGGAAAATGTTGGCGGTCATAACTGCCAGAAAGGGTACAACAGCCTCCTACTGGGGGACAGGACCACAAAAACCATCTAATATACTGGCTTCAAAGTCAGAGGAACCCAAGTACAAGGCCTCTCTTCACCATTTGTGAGCCATGGGACTTTGGGGAAGTAGGCTTAATCTCTGTGGGCCTCGGTTTTCTAATGCTAAAAATGTAAATACAAGTAGTTTCTACCTCAAAAGCGCTTAAGAAGTCATTGATCATTTTCCTGGCAGAAATAGGTATTCAATGATGTCATCTCTATTATTTAAAAGGTGGGTTTGTAGTAGAGGACTAGAAGGAGAGGGACTGTGAAGAGATGAACAGAGGGTAAGAAAATTGTTAGTCTTCACTTATAAGAAAAGGTCGAAATTGGGTTTTAAAAAGTTGTACAAGTAAACAGACCTTTATTTTTCATTCTTTCTATCATTGAATGCTGAGAGTGTCTCCTATCTGCCAAGCTCAGTTCCAGACCCTGAGGATTCTGATGAACTCAGAGAGGTAACAGGTGACATAGGACCTTGAAGGGGATTTTTCAGTCTTTGATTTTTACTCTGAGATTGGAATCCATGGAGGTTTTTGAGAAGAGGGGTCACGAGAAGTGTATTCATATGAACTAGGGAATCTGAAGCCCAAATGGGGAGTAAAGGATATGATCATATGAAGAAGCAGTTATGCTCAAACAATTTATATCAGTTCACATCTCATAAGATAGCCAAGGTAAAGGTAGCCCCTCTAGTGATCTCAGTTCCAGTCTCAGGCTGTGTGACTTGGGAGATACCATCTTCAATAAGTGTCCTGCTTCTACTGCTTCCATGGCTCCAAATTCCCACAGTTTCTTTTTTTATATATAAAATTGGCTTTAATTTATCTTAATATGTTTCCTATCCATTTGTCAATTATCAGACCAAAAGATAACATTCTTTCAGAAGCTATGGCAAAGTAGGATGAGACTGAAAAATTACTTCCTTGGAAAGTATTTTTAGTAACTTTCACTGAGTGGAAATGAGGTTAGAACTTTTCAACATAATGCTGAGTGACAGGAGGTTTGAATAAGAAAAAAACAGGGTCGTCATCTTAGAAGGTTATTCTTACTGTGTATAGTTTTTGCAACCATTAGCTGCTGGAATACTGGATTGCTGCCAGTACAGGATGATAAATTAGTACTGGGAAGCTTATCTCTTGAGGCCAGGGATAGCACTTTAAACTTGTAAAAGGAGAAGAAAAAGTTATCATTCTGAAGCTACAGATGTACAAATTCATTTCTAAGGATATTGGTGGTACATGTATGTTCTGAGATCTATGGCGTATTTCAGAGACTTTGATAAAATAACAGAACTTTCCAACAGAGAGTCATCTCAATGAACCATTTCACTGCAGCATTCTTACACTCACAACAGACCAAGGCAGAGGTCTGTGGTAGGAGATGGGGCTGCCACATGGTCAAGCCACGGAATTATCAGAGGTTCTAGTTAATTTTTTATCGTTTTTTGCTAGAGTTATACATTTATCTTTAAGTTGCTTTTTTTCTCCACCCTCACAAGTATTGAGGGGAGATGGATGAATAGATAAATAGGCAGACTGATAGATATATGTAGAATATTTTACTTTAATTTTCAATCAATGGGATATATGGTTTTTAGTTTTTAAACATGTGAGTGTAGTATTCTTTGTCCCTCCCTCAAAATTGGTTTCTCATTTTATTTTCTTAGACAATATTGCATGTGGTTAGAGAAATTAATTTGTATGATATCAATTATTTGAATAGTTAAAACTATTCTCTTATTATTGAGTTGGAATTCTATATCTGGCCAATAGTCTGTTAATCAAATTGTTTGATATTCTATATTTCTCCTGATTTTTTATCAGCTAGATCTACAGTTTTTGAGAAACATAGTATCTTCTAACTTTATTTTGGATTTATCAAGTTCTCCTTATAGTTATGTTATATTTTATATTGAATAATCTGAGGCTTTGCTACTAGGTGAATAAAAGTTCAAAATTACTGCTATTTTCCTAAGGAATTCATCCTTTACCCATTAAAAAATAGGCATTTTAATTGTAATAAAGCTTTTTGCCTGAAGGTCTGTTTATCCTGATATTGATATTGCTAGACCATCTTTTTTGGATTAATAACTTTCTGATATATCTTCTCCATTCTTTAATTTTCTTTCTTTTTTTTGAGTCAGAGTCTCACTCTGTCACCCAGGTTGGAGTGCAGTGGCCTGCTCACGGCCACCCCAGTGTCGACCTGCTGGGTTCAGGCAATCCTTCTGCCTCAGCCTTCCAAGTAGCCTACAGATATGTGCTACCATGGCTGGCTATTTTTTTAATATATGTATATTGTAAAGAGGAGGTCTCACCAAGTTGCCCAGGCTGGTCTCAAACCCCTGGGCTCAGGCAATCTTCTCGCCTCGGCCTCCCAAAGTGCTGGGATTACAGGTCTTCCAAAGTGCTGGTATTACAGTCTTGAGTCATCGCACCTGGCCCATTGCCCATTCTTTAACTTTCAAAATTTGTTTCATTATTTGATCTAAAAGCTTATATCTTTTATAATTCTGGAATATTTTTATCCATCGCCTTTTTGTCTATTTCATTTTCTTACTTTCTCAAAGTTCTCTTTCTAGAACTCTTATGAAAGCATATTGGATTTTCATTTATCCTCCATCTCTGCTAACTTCTCTTTCTCATATTAAATTTCTGCAATTATTATTTTGTGGGTCATTCTGTGGAATTTTCCTCAGACTTCTTTTTTAGCTTACTAATTCTTTCTTCTGCTGATTCAGTTCTGCCACTTCCTCAGGCCCATGAGTAGAGATTTTATAGTCCCTTTTTTGTAAAGACAGCAGATGTTACAAGTTCTCAGTTGAATCATTTGTGCCTTTCTGGTCTCTCTTGTACTGGAGGCTTTATCTCTTGTCCCCATGTGAAACAAACAAACAAAACTAAACAAAAAAACAGTTCTCATCCTCTTCAGCCTCTATCCAGGACCAATGCCCCATGTGTGTTTTTACTTCCTGTTCTATATTTGAGTTTCTTCCTTCATTCTGACATCTTTTTTAAAAAATTTATTTATTTATTATAAGGATGTGGGGTACAATTCAGGGTTAGATATATAAACATTAATCATGCAGGTACCCTTGTTGATGAGGGATGCTCCTCCCTCCCCTAGCAGTTTCCCCCAACTGCCAGTCCCACTCTTTCCCCGCTCTGACAGTTTTCCACTACTGCCAATTGCTTTCTTATAGCATTATAATTGTTCAAGTTCACCTTATGAGTGAGAACATATGGAACTCAGTTCTTTGTTTCTGTGATAAATCACAGAGTATGATCGAATCCAAATCCATCCAATTTGCTGCACAGTCCATATATTTGTCCTTCTTTATGGCTGCGTAATATTCCATTGTGTATATGTGCCACATTTTTTTATCCAGTCCAGCTTCAATGGGCAACACGGTTGGTTCTATGTATTTGCTATTGTGAATAGAGCTGCAACAAACATATGTGTGCAGGTATCTTTTTTGTAGAATAATTTAAGTTCCTCCGGGTATATTCCCAATAGGGGAATTGCTGGGTCAGTTCTGACATCTTAAACTGCTCTTTTATTTATTTTAACCTTGATTATGTACTTTTAAAGTGTGTTTCTTACATGTTTTCTCTGCATTTTTGTGTTTGCATTGGGAAGGATTCCTTCTGTATTAACTTAGTCCTTTACATTCCTGGAAGTTTCATGCAAATGCCTGATTCATAAAATTATTTCAATATATTGTTTTGAAAGAGTTGTCTTTCTTAGTATTTAAGCTTTATTTTCTCCTAGCATTTTGACTCTAAAACAGCTTTAGAAAACAAAGAAAATATATTGTAGAATAATTCTGGATGACAATGAGCACAGTACCAAATTTTTACATAAAAATGTGATCATGTTTTTAAAATAACATTATAAATGATATAGGATTACAGAATATAAAGTATTATTTTTAAAAAATTCTAATTGCTTACAAAGCAAAGGTAGATTACTTTTTAGGTGTTCTTATAATCTAAATATGAACATGCAGGGCTCATGTTTTTCAGAACAAAACTAACTGAGATTTTAATTTTTAAATTGTTATTAAAATAATCAGATTTCTGAGAGCTACACATGCGTTAGTCTTTCAAATTTCAGTAGTTTGGTAAACTTGATTGAGCCCCATGAGACTTTAGCTCAGAAGAAGAGAAATAGAGTAGTAAGCCATTACCAAAATATATCTTATAATAAATAAGTGTTTCATACTCCTCTTTTGAACATATATTTGTATGTTTTGGGTCTTAGTGGTTATAGAGAAAGCAGTCTCTGGTTTTTTTTGTTGTTGCTTTGTTTTTTAAAAAAGAAGTTACCTGAAATTCTACAATTATCCAAAATAATACAGTTATCAATTTATAGAAATATCAAGTACCTATATCCTAGGATATGTTAACAATGGGAAAGCAGTGAGAATTTGGCATAACTGGCTACTTGGAGGGACTTGGTTTTCACAAAATATCAGGTGGCATGTTTATTTAACACCCATAATCTTGACCTTTCTTGTCAATATAAGCTGACTGCCTTTGGTACTCTTTTATAAGATGGCTCTCTGTATGCTCCAGAAAAGTCTGTTCTTATCAGTGAACTTAACAATGAAATCTAACAATGACATTTTTCTGTCAATATTTCTTCTTTGATGGCAAATGTGATTGCCTTCTCCTTCAACTTTACCAGACTTCTCCCCTTTTATTTGGTAAAGTCAAGTTTACATGTAAAGTCCATGAAGCTTTCTGGGTTGAGCTGCCTCCTACTTCTGCCTCTTCCATGCTACATGACATGTGTCTCTGGCTTCTCTGTGCTAGTATTCATTCTTCCACTATTAAATGATAACTAAATGCCTCCAAAAGAGGCCTTGGGGCCTAATTACTAAAGTGTCAGTCAATCATCTTAGCAAATACTAGAATAAAACAACAAAATTATACTTTTAAAATTAGCAGCCCCCAACCTTTTTGGCATCATGGATCGGTTTCATGGAAGACAACCAGGCATTAGATTCTTATAAGGAGCGGATAACCTAGATCCCTCACACACACAGTTCACAATAGGGTTCGTGCTCCGATAAGAATCTAATGTCACTGCTGACAGTAGAGGGAGCTCTGGTCACCTGCTGCTCACCTCCTGTTGTGCGACCCTGTTCCTAACAGGCTACTGATGGACCGATGGACCGGTACCAGTCTGCATCCTAGAGATTGGAGACCCTGTTTTAAATCACTTGAGTTTGCTTCACTTACTTATTTTAAATCACTTGAGTTTGCTTCACCTCACTTATTTGAAATGACCTTATTCCCATTTTGTAGGTATTGTATAAAGCTTAGAAAATATATGCCTCTAATTTCCAGTGAATAAAATCACTTTATCTCTTATCCACCCACCCCATCCTTTGTAGCTTAGAACAGCGAAACTTGACTTTGGAAACAGAAATGATGAACCTCCATGATGAACTGGATCAAGAGAGGAAGAAGTTCACGATGATAGAAATCAAAATGAGAAATGCTGAGCGAGCAAAAGAAGATGCTGAGAAGAGAAATGATATGCTCCAGAAAGAAATGGAGCAGTTCTTTTCCACGTTTGGGGAGCTGACAGTGGAGCCCAGGAGAACCGAGAGAGGAAACACAATATGGATCCAGTGAGCCCACTTCCTCCTGTTGTCCCTGATGGCTCTGGGAAGGACACTGGGGATTCTGGTGGGATGTTACATGGGATCAGGTGGCTGGTCACCTGGCTGTATAGAGGTCTAAATGGTAAAGGAATATCATTTACAGACATTAACCATCCATATCTACAATGTGTACCAAAGTTATATCATGCCCCATCATGCTACTGTCAAGTGTTACAACTGGATATGTGTATATAGAGTAGTTTTTAAAAAGGTGAACTAAAAATGAGAAGCATATTTCAAGAATTATTTTATTGCAAGTCCTGTATTTAAAATGTTAAATCAATATGTTGTTGCAATCTAGCTTGCCTTCAAGCTTCACCCCTTGCACTTAACATAAACTATTTTTGGCATTGTGTTATCATCAGCTTATTTTATAGATCAATATTTTTATTTCCCTTTTTGCTGAGGAAATGAAGATAAGCAGAAATATAAATATATATAAATATATATAAGATGAGTTATTAAAATCAAAAGAATACTTGGCGACTGTGTCATTTGTGCCAATGGACCTTGCCATGACCAAAAAGAGAAATGTAAGTTTTATGAAATATAGTAGGATCACCAGGAACCCTCTAGCTGCTCTTTACATTGCTCCCTCTGCACTGCTCAGATTTGCTTTGTAAGATGACTTGAAGTAAGAACTTTGGGGTTGTGTAAGAAAGTTCCCCTTGCTTTGTCTACCTTGCCAGATTCTCACATGTATCTCTCCAATGCAGGATTCTCCTTCGAAGAGAAAAAATGGTAAAGAATGGATTTAACCAGTCAGGCCTTGATGTACTCAGTCCCTCTAAACCGAATCTCTGTAACTGCTGGGGGGTTATTAGATACCTTTTTCCTGCTACTTAGAAATTGAGAAACAGCTAAGTCATGTGGGCACCTGTCTCCCACTTAAGCCTCTTCCCAACACCTGCACTTTGGAATACCAGCAGTAAAATGGTATTACTGTGTCCCCTCTGTGAAACCTCCAGAGTACGTGTCATATAGCGACATTTTTCTCTCACATAGACAGTTGCCATCTGGGAGTCTTTCTGTTCCACAGCTGGCAAAGGCAGCAAGAAAGTGACAGAACACAGGATTGGGGGACCAGGAGGAGCAGGAAAAAAGTTTGGAAGAAACAAACTACTTTGCTTCTAATTTTTATATAATATAATTCTTTCCTGTTGAAGAATACTCACTCATTCACAGCAATTTTAAAAGGTGAATGCTTAAAGGTCCAGTTTTGACAAACACGCGAACATCAGAGATGCTAACTTTCTAGAAAACCCAGGGAGAACAATTCTTCACACTTCCATAAGGCAATGATTTTGAGAATCCAGGCAAATAAATCTTTCTCACACTAGAATAAAAGGTCACAAAAGGCATAATCAGAAATAAAGACCAGGTACTTGAGTTTATAGGATCTGTGTTGTTTGAAGGTTGAATGATTGCATATGTTTATTTTCAAGGAGGAGAGTGGTCTTTACAGCATTCATCTGTGTCACTGTCCTGCCTTATGTCTACCCTCATGCTTAGCAAGCAATATGGTCCTTTCGTATTAGCCAGTATCTATCTATCTATCTATCTATCTATCTATCTATCTATCTATCTATCTATCTATCTATAGCAATAATTTCCTTATCATTAACTCCCTTTTCTTTCTCTTTCCCATTATTTAACCAGATATTTCCGCCCGGTTATCCTGTAGGAAATTCAAACTCAAAATATGCAAAATTGACCTAAATAACTCTCCTTCTATATCTTTTCATCTTTTTGTGGTCCCCATCTCAGTTGGTGAAAACTGTGGACTCATCCAGGAAGTAGTAAAACAAAACAAAAACAAAAAAAGTTATGTAATCAAGTTGCCTGGGTTCAAATTGCCTACAATTTGCCAGCTGTGATAGAACCATTCATGCATAACTTTTTCCTCTGTACTATTGGAATAATAAAAACACTACCTCCCATAGACATATTATATGGTCTTAAGGAGATAGCTTGTGCTAGGCTGAGCCCAGCAGCTAGTGTATGCCATAAATGTTAACTCATCTTTGTTTACTCTTCTCTGTCTTCACTAGTAAATCTGCTCACCAGGTAGTCTATTCCAATTATATGTGCCTTTTTAGTCTGCTCTCTTTAATCAGCTTCCCTTCATCTTTTGATGAAAGCATCCTACCCCGTCCCATTTGTTTTAATGCCTCTCCTCTCCTTTCAACCTTCGTGGGCTGCCCTTTCGAAATCACACATCTGACCATTGCTAGTAACATTTCATGACTCTCACTTGCCCAGGACAAAGCACTTCACATAGTGTGGAAGTCTCTGACCTCCAGTTTCATTCTCATCTCCTACCACGCCCCACCACACCCACCATGCCATTTCATGCTCTAGAACTTTCCACCTGCCTTTTTGCTGTGTCCTTCTTGTCTGACTTCCTTCTAGCTGGCACATGCCAATCACCTTTTAACCCATGTCCTTTGCCCCATGACGCTTCCTAGAGTCTAAGCAAAGTGAGTTGCATTTTGTGCTCCCAACTTGCATGTATCTCGTTCAGCCTTTCCCACACCTGATATTTTTCTTCATCAAATTAGAAGCATTTTAGGAGGCAGCATGGTGGAGTGTAAGTAGAAAACTGAGAGCTGTTCAGACCTAGATATGCATGTCAACACGCCTTCTGCAAGATGCATGGTAATCACAGGTCACTTACTTATCAGACCTCACCTGTAAAGTGGAGATAGTAACTCTTACAAAGTAGAGATTCTGAAGGTGCCTGTTCCAGTGCCTGCCACTTAGCTTTGTTGATAAGTAGCGCTTCTGAAGGGACTAAGATTGTATTTTATTGATCTCAAATCCCTCTCTCTCCAAGATTATGCCAAATAGAGTGTCAGCACAAAGAGTTAGTAATATTTTTTTGAATGAGAACACACACACTGTGTTATCCAATCTTTGATATTTGATGTTAATTATCAATCACAATGATGATGACCTCCAATCACTGGATACCAGGAGCAGCATGTCCATCTGGGTCTCCATTTGTTCAGCTAAAAGCCTAGAAAATATGGACTGCAAACTGACATAAGAAAAAATTAGAAACGAGTAAGGATACAAAGTAGTTAGGTAGTATCAACAGTCCACTTGCTACAACCTATATACACTTCTTTAACACTGTTTAAGTAGTAAAATTAATCTTAAATTACACGTTTAAGAGAAAGGATTTGCTTTCAGGTGTTGAACTGACCATGTTAGGCTCACAAACTACAAGGCTGGGTGTCCATTGGAGAACATTTAAAATAGAATTTCCTGAGACATTAAGCCCATGGAAATGTGAATTTAATATGTAACATTATGAAAGAACTAAAAACTCCAAGTAAAATTTAAATAGTCACTTCTATTTATTTATCCACAAGTTGGGATCTCTTTCAAAAATATTAGCTCATTCCCAGGTGAGGTAGTTTACATCATTAATATAATCATGTTGCCTTGAAAATTCAGGAGAGCATTAAAGAATGTGGTGCTGGCCAGAAACCTCAGTGTTGCTTACATTACAGAGCTGCACCTTAATTAGGGTCACAGAAAAGAATATGCACAAACTTTTGGCATTAGAGACCTGGGTTCAAATCACAGCTCTGCCACTTCATAGCTGAACGAAATTATGTCATGATTGTAAGTCTGCATTTGCTTTGTTTTGTTTTTTGGAAGTAGGAATAACAGTGTCTCCCTTATCGTCTGTGAGAAATGAATAAGATAAATGATATGATTAGACATTGCTTGTCACATAGTAAGTGCTCATGAAATAGAAGCTGTTAGTCTTCAAATTATTTATATTGGAAGAGTGTTTCAGCTTCTATATAGCAAGGGTCTGGTCTCAGGAATTTGACCATTGGTATAAGAATGCCATGCTCACCAGCACAGGGTATAATTATGTCCTGGTCACAGGGACTCAAATTCTATCTGTGCCCAGATAGTTTCCCAGAGATTGCTGGCAGAGAAAGCAACCCAAAGCATTTCTTCGACTCTGAGGTAGTATCATTACATTCATGATCTGAAAATAATGTCTAAAGAACCACCAGTAGCTGTCTTTCATCAACTGCGGCCATGTCCATGGTGAAGATGATATTAGGAGTGAAAGGCGTTGGCAAAATTCACTGAAAGTGTCCAAAGAAATGGTCCAGGGAACTGAAGGCTATGGTGGGTGCTCGGGAATACTTGTTCTACAAGTATTACCATGTTATATGATGTGCTGTAAAAATAACTCGAGGATTATGAAGGTGAAGCTGGGGAAGGCCTTGCAGGGTCATGACTCTGATGTGAGGCCCAGAAAGCGAGTGAGAAGTCATCAGACAAGGTCACAGCTCTAGCAAGGGGCCCTTCTAGCCCTGGAACAGCATGGCAAAGATGCCTTCAGTGCAGACCCTCAGAGAGCCTTTTCAATAAAACTAAAATGACCTCGCAAGTCTTTGCCATCCATATGGCACTGTGCACAGCACCTTAACAGCACACCATGAAACCCCAAAACACTCTTAGGACCTATGTGGCTTCTACTCTCTTATTCAAAGGCCGCAGCCAGAGTTTGAAACATTTTGCCTGGTTTGAACTCAAAAACCACAGGAAAAGAGTGCTGGAACCATGACTCCCAAAGGTTTATTTCATTATTCTCTTTATAGTCTTCTTAATTGCACAAGCGGGGATTGAGTTGAAAGACGGAATTGCCCGGCTTAAGGGCCTCTTGCGGCGAAGTGACTTGAAAAACTAACCATTCCCCAGGCAGCCAGAATCCACTGAACCCACTATAGATTTTTGAGTAGAAAGTTTAGCTGATGAAAAGTGTGTGTTTTAAAGCACCATCTGCAGCTCAAGTCCAGGACTGAATGATACTCTTTGTTTAGAAACTATGTATAGCTGCTGTCTGCATGACCTCTTGAGGGATGAACCAAGGTGAGACCAGCCCACACAGGGAGAGCTACGTTTCTTAAGCAGGAAGTAAGGACAACAGGAGGATGCTGGATTGTTGGGTGGGGAGCCAAACTGACCCCATTTTCTTTGAGTGAAATGGTCTCTTACCTCTGAGGGGGACCCTGAGCTTCCTAGCTGTTCTTTTTTTTTTTTTGAGTTGGAGTCTCACTCGGTCGCCCAGACTGGAGTGCAGTGGCCG